CTTCGAGCCAATTTGTGATAGCTCACTCCCGTCGCAGACAGATCTACGACCACCCCGTGGGTTTTAAAGCCCTAAAGGTCGGAAGAAAGTAGCCCCGGTCCGAGTAAATACAGCACAGTTCCTTTCATTTTTCAAAATGCTCTGTGTTATTGTTGGCGAGGCAAGGGAGGTTCACATGCTCAAAGCATTCGAAATGCTCCGGTATTTGTCAGATTAAACCGATCCAAAAGGTTACAAGTCAGCTCTGGAAAGTTATAAAAATAAAATCACAAGCTTTGGCACGCCTTCCCACCAAGGAGGGGAAACGCATGAACTTTTCTTGCGGACGTTACTCACACCAAGCCAACAGTACACGCTACTACCGGGCTGCTGCGTCCCTCTTCTCACTCTTCCCTTCCTCCACTCCTCCTATATTCTCTTTTTCCCTTACGTCCAAAGGGGCAAACTTCAGGCAGATGAAGGAAAAAAAAAAAAACACCAGATCACAAACAGATCCAAGAGTCTGGCCTCGTGTCACGATACCCGCAGCCTGCCCACACGCACCCCTAATGAATCGGATGTGTATTTTTTCCGCATTTTAAGTCCTTGCATTCATGTAGTAAGTCTTGTTTCGTTTGCTGAATGACGAAGCCAAGAAGAGACAGAGCTGTGAAGCTTTTCAGATGTTCTGAGGTAACTGGAATAATGCATAAAGCAGATTCAACTGTATGAATAGTCTTGCACAATGTATTTATAATTATAATCAGAAGTTTCAAATATCCTCCCCTCCTGCACAACATCCCCAGGGAAATACATTCCAGGGTAAAACATTCATGAATTACTTACTGCGTGTCTTCTGAAGATTCCTGTTTTATCTTTAATGTTCTTTTTGTGGTAGGCATTTCATCTGAAAGGTAAAATTCCAACGCATAATTATATTTTAAATAACGTTCCTGGGTCTTTTTTTTTAAGGCTGAAATTAAAAATAAATTAAAAAAAAAATTTAAGCCAGGCAGGCCACTAAGTTCTGCACGAGACGGCTCCAGTTCCTAAATCCTCCGTAACAGAGTATTTTTTTTTTTTTCTTGGAAGCGATGTGATCAGTTAAGATCTGAATCTGTCTCTGAAATTGCAAAACCTTTGGAGGACAAGACTACAATTCCCACTATTAAATCACAAATCAATTTAATTGCAAACTACATTGTTAAAAAAAAAGGGGGGGGGGGGGAAAGAAAAAAGGCTATTCTGTTTTCAATGGCACATTTGAAGAGCAAGCACCAGAACAAATGCATCTGTATTCCATTTAGATGTTCTGTGCTAAGTGCTCTTCTCAAAACTTCTCCGAGCATTAAGAATATCGTCAGCCCAAGTTGCACACAAACGTCGCCGATTCAACTGAAGGAAAACGGTGACAAACCAGGAGACTGCAGTTTGACTCACCAGAACGAGTCAAACTAGATAGGATTAGCCGTCGTTTACATACGATTTGTAACATCGTCTTCTCCCCACCGTTTCTCTCCCACATATTTCTGACTTTTAAATCCCCTGGGGAAGAAGTCTGAGAGAACCGGAACGCAGTTAACAGCCACCTTGCAAATTTTAACATTAAACTGCAATTTAAGCCTCCTTCAAAGCATCCCAACTCACCGGTCCCCTGAACACAGATGTGAACAGGTACACGACTGCATCTCCTCTCCCTCTTTCAGCCTACAAAGCACGAGGGGAAAAAAAAAACCCATCCCACCAAGAGCCTTTATCCAATTCACCTTCTAACTGCCACTTCACTTGGGTCTCCGTTGAATTTGATCCGACTTTAGGTTTCCACAGTGAAAATAACCCCCTTGCTCAGGCAAGGGAGGAACACGCACCCGTAAGATCAGTGGCTCAAGAGAGATAAATATACTTAAAGAAACCCACTTCTTCACAAAACGGCTCAGATCAGTGCCCATTTTCAATCAAGAATGCGGTACCTTGCTCCGTTTGACAAAGTTCAACAAGCCACAGGCAACAACCAGATCTCCAAATTAATCAATATATTGATTCTTATGCAGAGACACCAATAATAATTCAGGCGAGACAAGCATGTGGAGGAGTTCGGTTTAGGTCTCAATCCTGGAGTGTGAGCTTGCTTGCCTTTTTTTTTTTTAATTTAAAAATGGCCACACATCTGGATATAAGCATATTTATACATTTAGAACAAACATACCGGTTAGGGTGTGTAGGAAGAAGAAACAACAGTATGACTATAATCGCAGCGGTGTGAAGTCCCGCTCGTAATTTAAGTGAACGCTGTTTGAACGGTAACCCACGGGCTCAGCTGGTGCCTAAGGACCATCAAAGCAGGGTACCACCGAAAGGGAAAGTATCTCCCTGATCCCACGAGGGGAAGTAGAACTGAGCAGGGAAGGAGAGACGGGGAACGTGTTGCCACCTCCTCCTCCACCGTTTCTGGCCACACAGCCCTTCCTTCCTCTTGCTAGGCTCTTTAAACTCAAGTCCTGATCCCAAAATACTTCGGGAACCACGGTTTGCTTTTGATGATGAACTGGGGAACTTCTTTCCCCTTTCTCCCCAAGGACATCGGGTATTTAGCATCTAGAGCACGCTGTGTCCAAAAACGTGAAAGCCGGTACTGAGATACGTATGTGAGAGACAGGTACGAGCACAGGTGAAAATCAGAGGATGGAGATGCGCCAAGATGGGATTTCTTACCCAATTCCTGTTCGCCGGTCTGGTAGCAATGAAGATCCTGACTGTGGTTTCCCCAGTCCTCCTGCGAATACTCCTCCATCGTGCTGCCGTCCGACTCCAGCTCCTGGTACAAGCCGCTGCTGTTGATGAGGACGGGCTGGCAGGGCTGGGAGTCCCATCCTCCCTGCCCAAACACCTGCTCCAGCTGTTCAAACGTGTAGCTGCTTTTCCTCTTCCCAACACCGTGCTCCTTCACGCGGCTGTAGCACCTGCGAAGGGTCTAAGACAGAAAAAGGCACGTTAACCAGGCGGCGACGGGTTGGAAGAGCACACATTCACTTGCAGACAGTTACACGGCTGCTAGGCAGAGTTTAGGGTGGTTTGTTTACTTCTGCTGATCAGTATTTGCCCCACGCTCACAAGCTATATGCAATGCTCCCAAATTAATCTACGCCCGCCAGGAAGCATCGTACGTATCCGACGTTCCCGCTGCAGCGATTTAGCGTTAACATCTACGACACAGGACAAAGTTGCGTAGCAGCGACAGGTTCGTCAGATTTAACTTGGGCGATTTATTCTCTTCCCCACTTCAAAAAAAATCCCCAGATCTGCTGAGTAACGTGGGGGGGGGGAATAAAATAAAAATACCAAGAGACACTCCAGTCAGAGATACCAACGAGCCAAGAAAATGCACACCTACTACGAGGAGGAGAAAGCAGAGCTGGTGTTGTGCCCACAGCTTGGAGAAGGTGAAGCAGGGAGGAGAAAGAAAGGAAAAGAGAAAGAAGAGTCCCCCAAAGCAAAGATGGTCCAACCTTCCTTACTCTGGTAAGAAGACACAAGGTACAAAATGTATATGCCTAAGCTATTCAGCTAGGAAAATATATATTACTTACATATTTTGCATTCCTTACTAACTCACTCTGTCTCTTGTGAAGCTGCTGAAATTTAAAAGAGGTCAAATCAATAATGCTCCAAATTCCCAGACTTCGACATCAAGCATTAAGTAAGAAACAATACTAAGGTGGCTCTGTCCAATAAGTCTTTAAAACAGCGCTGGGGCCGAAACCTCCCATACAGACAGAGGCAAAAACCTGGTCTGCTTTTGGTGATCCCTTCAGCATCCCGCGCTGACGGCCGAGCCAGTGCATCACGCTCGCTGCGCGACAGCGAGGCAAAGCCGTAGAAGCCTACGATTTCCGTCCGCATCTCCCCCCTAATCCGGAGCAACACACAACTATTTGGGGGTAAAAAAAAAAACCAAACCAACCCTTTATGCGCATCCTTCAGTGTGGTTTTTAATTCTACCACCACTCTACGTTTGAAAGATAACGATGTGCCCCAGGTTTGCTGGATCTTGATGGTTTTCAGATTGGTAGAGTGCTAGAAAAGGGTTTTTTTTCATCTTAAATTTATTAGATTGCTCAGGTTCTAGCTTGAATGGCAAAGCCGCCTCTGCAGTTCAAAAGAGGCATTCATTTGGGAAGAGCTAGTCCTGCCGCCTTGCTTTCTGGAGAAGGACTAACGGACTTTCAAGCACGCATCATTGCAAAAACTGCTTGCTTCCCGCCCCCCCAAAGGAACCTTTACCTCTCCAGAAAGCTCGAACCTACCTAATGCTCCTCATATACTGGTTTAACAGCATCAGCGGGAAAGGAATACATTTCTAACCAGTTTCCTCCCGATACTCAGAGCCCCGGGGACAGAAGCAAAACCGCTAAGCAGCAAGTCAGTTTTACCCTGCTGTTTCAAAAAAAAAAAAACCAACCCCAAAAACAAAACCAAAAACCACACCAAACCCCCCCCCACAAAAAGAACACAAAATAAAAAAAAAAACCACCATATAAACACACAGGCAGCAACAAGCACCAGAGTTATTCAGTGGTTTAAGGTGGAACCCTTCCCGATTTTGCCTTCGCTACGCCTCGGGATAAACGGGCAGATCCTCTTTGGGTGGACACCAGCAAATTTTAACTTTCCATCTGCAAGCGGGGTAGAAAGCAACCAGCTACGTCAACCTGGAACCAAAGACCCGGCCAAGAAACCTGTCAACATTCACTGGATGCAAACTGGGTTCCCTGGAGCTGGGGGTACAGATAAATTTGGTTGTTCGAATTTGGCTTTTTCACTCCAATTTCTCTCCTTTCAGCTCAGATCTCACCGAGCGCGATACAGGCAAACTATTGTTTCACTCCCAGACTCTTTCTGAAAATCCACCTGAGTCAGATTTTTTGAAATATATTTCCCAAGCCCCAGTTCTTACATCTGCCCCGGCTTATCCATCGGAGTTAATCGCAGATTTAGAGCCTCTAGCTGATTTTATTAGCAGCCTTTAAGCTAAACAAACCGTCTCCAGCGCAGCAGTTAACCAAAAAACGTCAATGCTCTTGGCCAAGCCCTCTTGGGAACGCTCAACATCCGCAGCCGCTTGCTCTATTTTAAGCGTGTGCTTCAAACAACTCTTCCTACCGATGGAGTTATCGAGTATCTCACACTGGGTTGTAGCCTAGCAGTAATTAACTATTTCATTCAGGCTGCAAACTGGCTTATTTTACCATGAAAATAATTTAGCATCACGTCAAAGGAGACTAGTACAAGAATTAAAGGGAGCAACGCAAAAAGGGGGCAAAAATAAATGAGCAATACTCTCACTGCTCATCACTCTTGCAAGTCAAGAGCACTTTTGAGGTTACTGCCTAGATGCTTCTGGACCTGGCTGCGTGAGCCATCTTTTACCTCCGCTTCTGGCAACAGATAATCTAAAGTTCAAGTGATAATCTAAAATTTGGCGCTTTCAAAAGCACCAGAAGGCCCGCGGCCAAGCAGCTGGTGGCTCCTCGGTCTGGTTTCCTGGAGAACCAAGGCTCCCGCTAGCTCTTCCTTCTCGGAGGCACCCCCCAGTTTCTCCAACAGCCAGTCCCTACCACTCTTCTGATGTTCACCTCTGAGTAACACGGGTCAGCTCCGTTTCACGAATGTCCACAGGCTTCTGCGTGGCAGGGGTGAGGTGGAGCAGACCGATGGCTCTCCCTCTGCAGCTACCCGCACCTCCCGTAACGATTTTCTTCAGAAACCCTGGTAAGACCTAAAGAATTGCTCAGACTTCAGGAAACCTCCCCTGGACATTTTATAGCACTCAGTGGTTCAGACACCTTTCTCCCAGCAGGTTATTCTGATCGCCAAGATTTAAGATCGAGTTTTTTCTTACGCACCTCCTCTATTCCTCCCGGTGTCCAGCTCAACTCCTGCTCCGTGGTTCCTAAAGTGCACATACATATATTGATACAGATAGACAAGAAACCAGTAAATTTAGGACAAGTAACGGAAAACAGACCTGATAACTGCCCAGTGACTGCACAGACTGGAAGAGACCGAGGCTTTTGCTTATTGTTCTGCAACACTGCCTGCAATATGAAGACAGATTATCCCCGCTTAATTTATAATTATGAAATCCAAAGAAGGAGACAGTCAAAAAGCTCAACGTGGATTTTCTCACCATTTCTAACTTACGAGCCCTCATCTTCTCTACACGCAAAGCCACAGGAGAACTGATCGCTCTGCGGGAACTGCAGCATGACGATCAGAAACACTGGTCAGAAAAGCCTTAGGAAGCGACTCTGAGGAAGGCTGTAGACACAGTCCTCCTCCCATCAGAAAATAAGATGAGGGAGAACCACGCCACAGCGAGCTTTTTTATGTATAACCCCAGAGATGGTCCAACACAAGAAACTCCAGATCCCTGATCCGAGATGCACTCTTACTCAGCGAGACGCTACGGGCTCCACAGAGCAGTTCGGTGGCCTACAGGCATGTCCACATTAATCTATTTAAGTCTATTAAACGATAGCAGCTGGCCTAGGAGGGGTCCCAATGGCACAGAGCACCACTTAGCACAACCTTCAGCTCCAAAGGTGCTCTTTTACTTAATGGGAGAGAGGAGCTCTTGGCTTTATGTCCTGAATTAAGAACAGCAGTATCAAATAGCTTTCTTCCTCATCGTGCCAGGATAGTCACAAGCAACACGAGGTGAAACTAAACTGGGACAAAAGAAACGGCTTTTGAAGCCTGAAGTGGCTGTAGGGCACGTAGGGATGACTGGCACAGTGAAAGCTCTTGAAATCTTCATTCCCGAGTTGGTTGGTGGAAGCGCAAGGAAACAGAACTGCCTACAGTAGTCCAATAGCTCTGCTCAACTTGCTAACTCACAAACTTTTAGGTTAAAAGATGTGTGGATGTGTGCAAGGCAGGAGAACATGAGACTTACATGGGATATCGCCACAAGAAGCCCTACTTCTGCGGTCTATCCAGAACAAAAGGAGAAGAAAGAGCACCTTACACTCTCGAGAGCGCCATACACCACTGCAGAAAGGTAGCTGACGACTTCAACGCGTCTCCAACATGAGACACCAAGTCGTAACGCTCCTCTGCAACCTGCCCTTAAAACTCTGCTGCAGGAGCTGCCACGGACCTGTCTGCAAAGGCTCCAGCCCCACAGGTGGCCGCACATCTGCCAGACCACAGCACTCGGGGACACGTCGGCAGTCAAAATAAATCACGCTTTGCACCGAAGAGCGAAGCCTCAGTCGTATCCTGATGTGCCCGCACGCACGGGGACTTCCTGAAGGATTTGGCTCCGGCCGAAAGGTCTCCGGTACGGAACAAGGAAAGCGATGGGAATGTCCCGAGGGGAGAAGGGCGGTGAGGGGGAACACAGACAAGCTGATCGTCTGATAGAGATAGGAACCAGAAACCTCTTAGGACAACGACTTCAAGAAGGAAAGTCACTCTAGGAGACACAGTGAGGGATGTCAGTCAAGGCAGGTAAGGCACGTGTTTTTAAGTTGGGTTAGTTAGCCAGAGCTAGAACCTAACAAAAAAACGCAGCGGATTTTCCACCACTGCCAATTTCTAAATCACAGTTAAATATATTAAAAAAATAAGCTCTTGCCTGGACAGGAGTTATCTACAGAAGCGCTACAGCCAGTTGCAGAGGTCAACCTAGATGAGGCAGGACTTTGCCAGCGACCAAGAGGGAACGAAGCCGGGGTATAACGAGCTGCGGCCTGGCCGGGTGAGGAAGTCATGCAGTGATACGCGGTGCTGAGAGACGATGAACCTCCCTGCAGCAGCGGCGGGCTACACCTCGCGTCTCAAAATAGCCACCTGCGAAGATGCTCCATCGGTTGCTGCGATTAAGAGAGCTGAGAATAAAATTATTCATACCCTTCTCAGGGATTTGATGCTAATCG